ATTTCAATAAAAATAAAAAAATAAAGAAAAAAAAGTAACAATAAATTAAGTTTGATTTTTCAGAAATGAACATACCTGATCTTTGACCAATGCTGTTATTGTCATCATGAATCGAGCTGGTCTCCAGTGAATCCGATTGTGAATTATCAATCTTTCCCGGCAGCACGATATTGCTGACAGTTCTGTAATAAAAAGGAAATTCAATTATTACATACACACACATATATAATAATAAAAATAATAAATTATTATTATACNCATACTTGCTCTCTAGCTGCACATCACGCAAAAACTGCATACGTTCGAAATGTATCCATGGTTTTCTTCCCCTCGTTGCGGCAGATCCACTTGCCGCTTGCTGATTCTTTTTCGAATAAGCCCGAAAAGAATCCACCAGCGACTTNCACTTCTTTTTCATTGTATCGATGGAAAGTGTTCCTAAAAAAGAAAAATAAAGCGTTGAATTAATTATTTTTATTGTTTTCTGAATGTTCTAATTATAAAATCAAATAACAATAACAATATTACCATCCATAGCTGCGAACACTTCTTCCCAGAGCTTTTTCTTTACTTGTGCGCTGCGTTCAATTAGAGGTAGCTTGAAGTTCCACAATGCAGGTCGTATATAAACTTCCTCAATCAGCTGTTCTTCNATGGCTATTTTCTTTGCTTCCAAGTTTACTGGTTCATTGTACTGTGAATTTTCAGTATTATGTACTGTATTATCTGGCGTATTTGTAACAACAACAGCCTCTGTACCATCAGCCATCAAACTGTTGCGAACTATATTTCCATTCTCTGCACATAAATAATAATAATAATAATAATAATAATAATAATAATAAGAAGAAGAAGAAGAAGAAGAAGAATATACATTCACAAAATAATTGGGAAAAGTAATTCATACTCACCGCACTGAGGATAACAATATAAATTGTCATCAATATAACAGTTACTATATCCTTCGTAGCATGGATGAAACACTATCTCATCCTTGTCTAAAATCGTTTCGCAAACGCCACATGTGTATGAAATGTTCTAAAATACAAACAAGTATATTAAATAAAACATTCAACACAATATATACAAATATAAAAGAAGTACTTTTAAAGAAAAACGTAACCTATAAATATTTGATACTTATATTAATATGTATTTATATATACTCACATCGTTCATGTCCATTGTTATTAAATATAGAGCCAGTAATATTAGTATTTCCACAGTCTTCGGACTACATTGTCTTCGGTAAAACAGAAGACAAGTTCTTTGTTCACTGCGTTTTTTCGCCGATAGTTCGACCATGTTGAACTATGAGCATTCTTACGCTAATCACACAGTTTTGGTAGAGTGGGATACTTCGCCAGCGAAACTTCGCTGATAGTTCGACGATGTCGAACTATGAGCGTTTTTTCGCTGACTACACATTTTCGACGGAGTGGGGGAATTTCGCCAGCGAAATTTTGCTCCATGAAATTGCACCTTTAGGCGTCGGGCAAGAAGGCTCAGCCATCTTGGGGAGCAGTCTCGTACGAGGAACTAAGAGAACAAGACGCGTATGCGAGAGTGCTCTTTGAAAACAAGTTCCCGCGGCTCGATAAGTGCGTTAATTAATTATATGTGCGCAATTTTAATTACACCGAGCGTGTGCGCGAAGTGTAACTTTGTAATATACTCAAATAAACTGTGTTTTATATATACTCTGTAAATACTGCGTGTCAAGTGTTAGTTATTTTGTGCGATCCTCTCCCGTTCAGACAGGAAGGAGGATCCCGAGGGACGCAGCATCCCGGAAATCCTTGTTGCTAGGAGGTTAAAGCAACTGGCGACCGTGATAAATCACCCGTACGGTAAGTCCTTGACCAAATCTACCGCCTAACCCCGGTCACAACCTAACCTAACCTGTGTTACTACAATATCCATAGAAATAAGTGAAAATTTTGCGTGGGGGAGTGCAGAAAGAAAAGTTTAGGTTAGGGTTAGGTTAGAATTTAGGGGGGGTGCAGGGGGGCACAGCCCTCTTGCCTACACGTTTACAACACCGACAAAAAGATTCAAAGAATCACGAAGAAAAAATTGTACGCAATGTAGCAAAATAAAAACTTAGTTTTCAAACGTCAATTGTTTATAACTTTTTTATTAACAACGAGCGACGGTTAAAATTTACGGATTGTTACTCAGAAAAGTATCCTTGACAACATATGTCAAGTTCATTGAAATTGGAGGAGAGTGACCTTTTTTATATATTAACCTTTCTTGCTACTTCGTACCTCAGCTACTCGGTCCACCTCAGTACGAATTAGAAAGAGAAAGAAAAAAAAGATAACAAAAACTGAACTTCATATCTTTGTAGTTACTTTATGTTGTACTCTATTTCTCTAGTATCCCACTGATATGAAGTGTGGAAGTAAGTATCTGAATAAAAAAAAATATTTTGTTAATACA